AAAAATAATAGTTACTTTTCGGATTATATAAACTTTCGATAAAGAATTTAGAAATATTAGATATTTTAATACTTTGATTTTTTTATATGAATAAGATGCGCTTAGTAAAATTTCTTTTGACTAATATATAGCCTGAAAAGGTTAACCACTGTGGATTGAATTTTCAATTCACAATCTTCGTCGAGTTAAACTCGAGGAGATATTCGGTTGTTTGACGAACTGCTAAAACAAAGAATGTAGATTCGTACGGCATACAAATGAACAGCTACGAGGTGAAAGAAATCAGAATAAAGATGAAGGAAGAAGAGACGAAGAGAAGCGTGAGATAGGTCGTTCGGCGGGCAGGAATTGCTCTTCAGTCGTTACTGCTGGAACCATCTAGAGAGCTCGACAAACACTCGATGCACCTCGCACGATTCTCTCTGAAAGCACGACTACCATTGTTGCCGTGTCATCTCTTTGGTCCCGGGCCATTGTCCTTCGTGCACCGATCGCGTCTCATTTCGATAGTCCCTTTAACCGTCGATTAATCGAGACGAACCAATCATATGAAGAGAAAGAAGAGGACTCGGGCTGTTTTCGGGAATTTTTTCATAAAAATCTGAAAGCAAGAAATCAAGGTAGCTTTGACGTATAGTAATTTTAAAAGTCCATAAAAAGATTTGAAACTGTCCGCGCGCGCGCTGCAGACTCCTCTCACTGTCTGAGAATTTAAATCCTTGGCGATCCAGCGGAATTGATAAAAGTACGGACACGACGTCGACCGTGTGGGTGTCACGAGAGGGTTACCGTCGAAGCGGAAGTGGCTTCCTGGAAGATCAGCTGACGCCTGGGCGGTTCGTTTTGTTGCACAGTGAATGGAACATTGGGGACCCACTCCCCCGAGGCCCTCGAATGCGGCCGGCATGCGGACGGCGGGAATGTCGGGAAGGAGGCGAAGGGTGGAGGATCTCACGAGAGAGGAGGGGGTAAAGCAACGAGCACGTTAAAACAAGAAGATTGGAATAAAAGGTTGGCCTGGCCGCGCGCGCGCGCGGGAAGGTAAAGCCAGAACGGGCCCGGAGGTGGAGAAGAAACGGAGAAGAAACCGGTGGGGGCGGGGCTCCGTCTGCGGATGCTGGTATGGAGCCCAGTCTTGCTTCGCACACCATCTTCCTTCATCTCGGACCCAACCCCCTTTCGAGACCAGCAGTACGTGGCCCATCTTCGGGTTCCTTTGCTCCCGCCGTTTCTTCTACTTTAACGTGTGCTTCTCTTCTTCACCTTTCTCTTTCCTCCTGCTCTACCACCTCCATCGCCTCCTTCTTTTCATCTTCCTTTCTGCTCCTTGACCTCCACACCCTTGGTCTCCAGCGTCTCCAACTGTTCGGCAACACTCTGCGACGTCGTTTGTCTCGACGTCCCACTTCTTTGTTCTCGGCGATGGCTCGACAATTTCGCGGACGTTATCTGCGATTTAACGAGCCGTAACATGCACATGAGGGTAATTAGTATCATGCCAAACAGGGAAATTAATATCGCTTTAATGTCGCTACGTTGATTATATACTACAGAACGCATGCACGCGAGCGAAATCGCGGACGCGCGAGAGTTAACACGGGTTTACCCACACGTTCAAGCGATAAGATACGAAATATGTAAACGAGGTGTAAGCGACATGCGCTTCGTAATTAGTGGCCATCGGGGCCAAGTGATGAAGGAGAGATAAAATAACATCGAGGCAGAACGCGGAGAGAGCATCCTTCACACGACGCGACTCATCATCTCCCATCAAGCTGACTGGTTTCTCAGCTACTGGCAGCCCACTATTCATAACATCACATATATATATGTGCGTGTGTGTGTGTGCGTGTAAACCTTTTATTTGTGCTTGTAAAAATTAATTGGATCTAACTTACCTTCGTAAGAACTAAAAGTATCGATATAAACTTTCACAAATAATAAGGTGTGTTCCATTACACTTATTTTACAGTACAAAAGCAAAATTCGCCACATTGTTAACTGCAGCTGTTTTATTTTTCGATTAGATCGAGAACCATTATAATAAGTAGCCGAGCGATATTCCGAATGACGATGCTCCTTCAAACGATTTCCAGGAAACTTTCATCCTCGTATACCTCTTACAGAAATTGGGATTGGCCCAATTCCATTAAGGCCCCTTCTGTGAACTAAAGCCGCGGCTTCCCTTTTGCGTTTCACACGAACAGTCGTTTTCGGGACGTTCGGCGCGCGTACAAGCACTCTCGGCTGAACTTTTTTCGATTTCCGCCGCAGTTCCTTTCTTTCTCCCCCTCCCTCTCTCGCCTTCGCGCGCGTAACGCTCCTTATCCCTAATGTATTACGGGCCGAGTCATTTTTTACCCGAAATGGATTTTCATAAGACCCGACATTCTCTCGGCTTTAGCCAACCGCGCGCACTCCTTCTCACTCCATCATATCCTGTATATCTCTTCAACTCCGCCAAAATATTTGTAAATAGATATAAAGTCTGGGAGGGGCCCAGGGGGTACCCTGCTGTGCGAACAAGGCTCCCCATAGCGCACTACGGCCGATATATCTCTCGGGCCCTTCACCATTCTTCCCTCTCTTTATATGAGACTCCTTCGCAGCCTTTTATACCTCCCCCTCCTTCATCTTCCTCTTCGTCTTCTTCTTCTTCTTGACTCCGTCGTCATTCTCATACTCTATTACCTCGGTTCTCATCGTGCAGTGCGAGGTCTACACATGAAAGCCATCAGAGGCGTATGAGAAAATTTTCAAGGATCAATTTTTTATTATAATCTTTGTGTATCAAGAATATATATATACCATATGTATGTATTTAATATTTTGGTAACAGGTGAAATCGGAATACGCGCGCATTCCTGTCTATATATCATATCTTTATAATCTGTTTGACAATATCTTTATGTGGAAGCAGCGTTATAAGGCAAAAATGTCTCATTTCAATCGCCATAAAATGATCGATTCATTTTAAATCAATTTTTCCAAGGGTGGCATGAAGGTGATCGTCCATTTGTACGCGCCGGAAGTACGCCAAATAGATCGAATGTTGACCGTATTATGATATATGGTCGAACCAGCAACTTCGGCTATAAATTTCGCGAAATGTATAACACACGAGGGAATTAAGGGCCGCCTGTTCAGCGGATCTATACAATTTCGGATATACCAAATTCACAGAAGTTCATTTGAATCTCAGAGATTTTAATGGAAATTTATTCGACAGCCGTGCAATTCACTTGCGGCAATCGCGTGCACGTGGCGTGAAGGTTTCCACCGGCGAGAGAGGATCCAAGCCCAATGCAGAGCGCGAGGGAATAAAAAGGAGGCGAGAAGAGGTGGAGAAGGAAAGGTGGGACCGGTCCCCCGATGGGGACGAGAGGGCCGTCGTCTGCACTCAATAGGGGCTAATTGCCGCAAGGAAAGCTGCAAATTCGTGGACATTGTTAGCTCCGTTCCATTCTCGGTTAGTGTCGAACGGGTCTCATTGTGGATCGCGAGACCGATCTGCTTCGTGTCCAACGCACACCATCGAATTTAACATACCGCCATTGAAATATCACGAGAATGAAAAGGGGTGAGATGGTAACTCCGTCGGAGTGTGTAAAATTCGTCGCGGCCGCAGCGCGTTCTCGCGATCGACAGGCCCCTCTGCACCGACGCGGCTTCTGGTCCCTTATTTACCCCCCTCCCCTACTCCAGGAGTCAATTGTGCCCTCCCGAAAATTACTTTCTTCCGCGCACTCGGCTGGGAATAAAAAGTGCAAAAAGAGTCCCTTCGGCAACCTTCGATGGAGAGAGGATCCGCTCGATTTACACCGAGCGCGTTCACGCACAAGCGAGCCTCTGTCTGTGCCCTGATCAGTCATCCGCATGATACTGCTCTGCGTGGGCGATTGCCCTCCGAGAATCAATTTGAACACGGGCCTCGGACGCTTCGAATGCCCTTCGACAATGCCGCGGCTTCGGTCAATGGGGACTCCCTTGCGTTTGGCTTCTCGCGCCCTCGATACGCCGCGTTCCGGATTAAGCTCGGGTTTACATGGGTCCTGTGCTATTGGGACCCCTGTCTCACTGAGTCGGCTATCCATGCTTCGTTACGAGAACGCGTACCCTATTGACTCACTGGACTCGCCTGGCTGTCGTCGTCGTCGTCGACGTAAAGGTAGACAGTAAGAGAGAGAGAGAGAGAGAGAGAGAGAGAAGTGATTCCAAGCAAGAAGAGGGGAAGCGGCTCGGCGTGACTGAATGATCCTCGACATCGGTCGTATTTATATTCCTGTTTGCCCGCTGATTCGCCACGGATCTGAGTCCGTTAAAGTCTCTTAAAGATCCAGGACCGATCTTATAACCGGTCAAAATACGCATTCGTTTTCCTAACCAGGCGGTTCTCGCGACGGAACGATTGCTCTCTGTACCTGATGCCACTGGTCACGAGGAAGGCCCCATTTTTCCCCGTGAAATCGGCTGAATTCCTGGGTTTGGACCGAGCCGGGACAAATCGTCCTGCGCGATGTTTTCTCAAATATGACGGAAATCGTATTAAGTGAAACTAATCGGAAAAGTGATTAGAGATGAAAGAGTTTCTCGCTGAGAAAAACGAAAACCAGCTCTGATCTTAGCATTTCCGAATGTACTTAACCTGAATTCTAAATAATACCTGAAATAGTCTTCTGAAAGTAGGTTAGGAGAAATATGTAAATATAAAGTCTAGAGCAATACTTTAAAACCCTAAAAATACATTTCAACATGTCAGATTGTGTGAGCTTATAGCATTAAAATAAATCTAGACGATATAGTGTTTTTTAATGTTCACCATATTGCCTAAACAATCAAATGCGTCATAAATCCTATTGTTAAATTTTCAAGATTAATTTAGTCATATGCATATAAATACATTTGAAAAATATAATTGTAATTTTTGTTTCTGCCCTTTCGTCAGTTAAAGTAACGGCAGTCTATCTATCTGTTACTAATCTTGAAACGTAATATTACAGAGGTGCAAGGAGAAACTTAACACTTTGGCGATCTCGGTGATGAACCAGTGGCCCGGAGTGAAACTGCGAGTTGTCGAGGGTTGGGACGAGGAAGGCATGCACGCGACAGATTCCTTGCACTACGAAGGACGTGCCGTCGATGTCACGACGAGCGATCGCGATCGCTCCAAGTACGGGATGCTGGCGAGACTCGCGGTTGAGGCTGGTTTCGACTGGGTCTACTATGAGTCCAGGTCGCACATACATTGCTCTGTCAAGTCTGGTTAGTAATTTCCATCGTACCGTTTAAAACGTATTATCAAATTAGTGCAAAAGAATGTGCGAATTGCGATCGAATTGTCTCGTATCACTTCGAAGAGAGTGAGAGCATTAAAAGCGGTCGATCCACAGACCGCATGTGGATTTTAATTGCGGTCATTTCGCGTTAATACCCGCATAAACGCCATGTCAATAAAGATGAGCGAATAAACTACCGGACAGTAGTTGTAATGATGTCGTTTTATGCAATAAAGATGCTGAAGTCGGTGCAGTTGTATAATAATGTCGTTTAATGGAACAAGGATACTAAAAGCGCACTGTTCTTAAATCGCGAGTGACAAAGTTACTTGGCACGTATTACTTATATAGCGACATAAAATCGTTCAACAATGTTGATCTTATTATGATCTAATTAAGATCGTTCTACTTCAAATACATAAAGTAGATTAATTTTTTGAACGAACGTCTAATTATAATAATTAAATGAATACCGTGTGTTTGTCTAATTCCTCTATGAAATGACAATGAAAATTGGCGCCACCACCTTGTACGTAGTTTCTAAAGATGTCTATTTTACCGACTCTTTATTCTTCTCTCGTTTATTGAAATTCAGAGATTAAATCCAATTATTTCTATCAAATTCAATTCAAGTTCGAATAATCGATTAATCAAACAACTTGAATATTTTTATCCGAAATATCTCGGATACTTTCACATTTCAGAAATTTTATTAGATGTTTCTAATAAATTTTTCTAAAGTAATCCGTGAATGTAGTTAATCACGTGAATACTATTTAACTTCAAATCAAATTTAATTCGATTCGAATCAAAGCAAATTATCAAATTTTCTTAAAAACCTCTCAAGTAACATAAGTAGAGAATATCTTTCATCAATTTTTTTTTGTCGTTAATGAAGAGCAATTCACAAGAAGTCTCAAAAAAAAAAAAAAAAATTTCATTTTTATCATATATGTAATAAGCAATGAAGAAATTTCTAAATACGCCAAAAGATGGCTCCTTCAAAGGGTTTCTAATTTACATTAGAGATTTTATAAGAGAATCTGACCACAAACAATTTTGTCAAGAACGAGAAAAAAATATATATATATACATACACAAATTTAATATTAAAAAAAATATTTCTAATATCTTTATGTTTCAAGAAATGAGAATATCGCTCAGAATAAAATAATTCTTAATTATGAAAGAATCTTCTCGCACATCTTCTCTTTGATCTAGTAATATTTACTTATACGAGAGCAATCATAGCGATTCGTGTTTATTCCAAGTCACGGTTAGGTCTCGAATTTCAAAATAAATGCCGATAAGTCAAGGCGTGCCTGTCGATCCGAATTAAAACTGAGTATAGAAATTGACGCGAAACCGATACGAGTCGATGTTGGGGGGATCGAAAAGGGAAACAATAGGGTGGAGGGAAGCCGAAGTGCAACAAAAAGTGTGAACGCGACCTATGCGTGTTTAACGCTTCGCCAATTTTCATTGTAATCACGTTAATTAATCGACAGAAGATTTCAAGAACGCTTAAGAAGAGATGATACATCTTTTTTATCTCAGCATTTATGTTTTCATAATGCATGTCAAAAAAATATAATATTACATTAAAAGATATTTAATTTAAAAAAAATGTTATTTTTTCTAAATCTATAATTTTGTAGTTTTTTTTAGAATAAAATTGTGTACTAACTTTGTTTAACTATGTACCTGTAATAGTATTATAGCGAGCATATTAAAAATCTATCATCATTTTTTATTTTAATCATTCTTAACTTCTTTCTTTTTATTTATTTCATTAAAATCTTAACTATCTACGCACGTCTTGCTTTCAGAATCGTCTTCAGCGGGTAAGTCCGGTGGTTGCTTCCCCGGGAGGAGTCTGGTCCGAACGGAGGACGGTAGTATGAAGAGGTTGGACGATGTGCGCCTCGGCGACCGTATCGCCGCTGTGGACTCTCGTGGCGATGTGGTGTACAGCGAGGTGATCGCTTTCTTGGATCGTTCTCCGTCCGAAAGGAGGCAGTTCATCCGATTGACGACCAAGTCTGGTCGAGTGCTCACGTTAACGCCAGCGCACTTGGTGCCGGTGGAGGGTGGGTCGTCGGTGTTTGCCGCCAACGTGCAACCCGGCGACAGGATCCTCGTGAGCGATACCGATGCAGCGAACGCGGTGAACGAAGTGGACAGTCGTTTGCGATGGGACAGAGTCAACGAGACTAAGTTGGTCATCGAAGAAGGAGTTTACGCTCCGCTTACGATGGAGGGTACTCTTCTCGTAGACGACGTCGTCGCGTCTTGCTATGCTGTCGTCAACAGTCAGTCTTTAGCACATTACTCCTTCCTGCCGCTAAGATTTTGGCACAGCGCGACATCTTTTTTCCTACAAAGGCTGAACGATGCAAAACACTTTGTGGCAAGACATAACTATGTGTCCAGAACAGAGTCGACGATGAGAGGAGAGCAAGAAGGCATCCATTGGTACGCATCGATGCTTTATTCGCTGTCCTTGTACGTACTGCCATCGAAAATGATCTACAATTGAGATACGACAGGAACAAAAGAACTCGTACAAAATGTCGAGTGAATCCTCAAGGACAAACTTAAGTGTTCAACGCGAATGTCACGTTCTAAAGACTTGAAGCTATGAAACTTAGGTGTTGATTAATCATTGAGAGACGTCGTCTTGTCTCTTGAATTTTTTTTTTTTTATGAATCGTCGTTGTGGATTCCGGTTACACGAGTGCCGTTGAAGACAGTTAATGTATGACCGCGGGGATGGAGTCACCGTTGAGAGGAATGCATGTATTTAATACGTAGAATAAAAGACGTCGTCGTAGGCGAAAGACATAAAGTTGGCCAGTGACCTATTAGTGTTCACCGAATGACGTGTAGCATATATTAGATCCTTAGGATAATAGAAAAATAGATGAGAAACAGAGCTTTAGGGAGAATCGGGACTTTTCTCTTCCACATTTTAAATGTATGTATACAATATATTGATATACAACTATTTCTTTTTTATTTTTTAGTACTCGCGAATCGTGTGCATCTCGTTCGATATACTTGTTTCTGAGATGTCAAAGGAAATTACCTTTGTGTGACGGAAAAAGTGTGTAAGATAATTGCCGACTGTTCTATTGTAATGTTATTCTAAATAATATTCTCTGGATGTACATGCGAGCAGTACATGAAAGCATCTGTATTTAAATATTCTAAACAGATTATTGTATATATCCTACTTTTTTATGTTTCCCTTTTGTTCAAATGAGAAGGGAATGAGACTTGCTTCTTTTAACATTGCTTCTATCGCATAATTTAATATATCGAAAACTGTAATTATGCGTTTGTTCAGTCGAGATGCACTTTTTTTCTTTTAAAATAAAATTAGTATAGACTTGGACTTTCGAAAGAGCAAACGAAAGAAACAAAGTGCAAAGAAAATGCGACTTAAAAAAAATAGGTATTGTCACTCTCGGTTGTGGCAGTAACTATAAGTACCGCTGTATAATAATAATATTAAATCGCCTTGCGCTCTCAGCGTGTCATATTTTTAACAATAGTCAATTATAATCAATATACATATATTAACAAAAAAAGTTAATTAATTATTTTAATAATTAGAGAACTTAATTATTTTAATAATTAAGAATTATTATTTTAATTATATTATTATTATTTGTATATTACAGCACACAAACAAATTATAAATTATGTATATATATATATCCCTTCCCAAAAAACTGAATTACATTATTAACGAAAGCAGATACATTGTGTCTTATTATTTTTATACAACAAATTCCATTAATTAAATAAGTTAGAAAATTTGAACAAAGAAGGTTATAATGCACTATTTCATATCATGGAAAAATTATAGAAAATTTTCGCAAATTTGATTTTGTACTTTACTTATTATTTATATTAAAGCAACTTACATCTTAGCTTAGACTATTGCTCATAGTCTATTGAGTTATTTATTCTTTGAAATTTGAGTCTCTATTTTAATATTAAAAATTTTAGTCTTTTATTATACTTAATGTAATTTTCTTTTTTCCTCTTTTTCTTTCACTTTCTCTCTTTTTCTTTCTTCTAAAATTTACTTTAAAAATTCTACGAAAGCAACTTCAGTGCTATACCGTACCAATAGATCGAAACAAAATGTAATTAACATAAAAAATATTATTGATATTTTTTTGTTCTAAAAGATGTTATATTTGATGTCTGAATTTTTCGAGCGGTTGATTTGTACTTCAGAAATAGATCTTATTTTATATAATATAATCGTAGGAAACAAACATAATTTAACGATCATTCGTGATGACGGATAATGAGACAACAGCCGGAACAGAGGATGAACTTGAAAATGTAAGATTAAATAAAAGATTGACACAGACAATTTCTCTCTCCTCCTTCTCTCTCTTTTTACTTAACCTTTTTTAATGTAAAAATATGAATAGATATGACACATCCCTATAAGTTTACTTCAAGGTTATTTTATTGCAGCATGGTGTAATATTTTCGCATCTGCAAGAACTTGAGAAAAGGTTCTTCGAAATTGTTGATGACGGAAGTGTCACTGAAGCGCGACTATTCTTGGAAAAACATCCGAATTACAATATAAATGCGACCAATTTTCAAGTAAGTACGTAAATTTGTAATTTTCTATATTTGAAAAAGTATAAAATATTAATATAAAAAAAAGTTAGTGTACAAAGTTTATTAATTATATTGAGTAAATTGAGAAAATACATTTGTGTGGAATCGGAAGTATATAAAATTATTTTATGATTTATAATCACTAAAATTATTAACAATTTTTTAATATTTATAAATATTATTTTCAAATCAAACAAAAAAAATGAAGCGGGCAAATACCGTTATTATTTGCAAATATTGTTGGAGATCCGAAATGCTAAATTATATAACCATGGCGGAAATAAGTTTTCCCTAAATTATTACAGCCATCAGATTCCATCTATTTTCTATTTGATTTGTTGGACTACCAAGGCTACCCACGAAGCCATACGAATGACGGCTTCAAACCAAACTCTTAAGCGGCTCATAAAGATTTCTAAATTTACCTTTTTTGTCACTGACTTTTCTTGATTTAAACGATACCGTCACACTTATGTTAGGGTTCACCGAAAAGACACGGCGCGTCAAAGGGAGGGTTTTTCGCATTGCTGGTATTCAGGTTACCTCTGTCATCTCTTTCAATCTTCTTAAGAGCGCCTAATACAATTTAAAATGGGCTAATCTAGCGATCTACCGTTTTATTTATTATTTGATGCTCAGCAAAAAGAGAATCGAGGAAGGATAGATTGCAATATAGATAACAAAGTTTATCACTAATAGCAATTTACGCTATTGAAAAATATTAATGCGTAATATTTTATTTTTAAAATTAATTTTTATTAAAATTTTCGATGAAAATTTATACACAATTTAAAAATATTTATTTATATATCTTAAAGAGCGAATCTAATTGTTTTAAAGTCTTTTACAAACTTCTGTGGTTACCTCTGTGCAAGAAACGGCGGAACCAATATAGGAAGAAGGGAGACAAAACGAAGAGAAAGAAGGCGATGCGAAGTCCAGTTATCTCAGATCTTTACCCTATAGAGGAACACGTACCCCCCGTGGAATGTTTCCTTCATCCATTCGGTCAGCACGGTAACCATCTCAGTGTGCTTCTCTCTCTCTATCTCACACTCTTTCTATGAGAGAGTATCAGAAAAGCGACCAAACTCTCGTTTGACTTTGAGACCGAAATGCCGAAGCGACACCGAAGAGAGACGGCACGCGAATGGAAGGAGAGGAGAGAGAGAGAGAGAGAGGGGGGGAGGGGGAGAAAGACAAAGACAGCATAGGGAACTCGTTGGAAAAAAGAGAGAAGTGCACAGAGAGGAGGAAGCTGGGTGTTCGCCATGTATCTCCAGCTATATTTCAGACCGTCTTTTTACAAGACAATGGTTTCAACTGAGACCTGATAAAAATTATTCAAATGACTCGCCCCATAATAAATTTTATACGGGAATTTTCTTGACATCAAAAGCTCTTCCACGCTCTATTTGTGTGCCTTGGTGTGATCTACGATACATCAATAAGCTTCGCGAATTTCGCAAAGTGCCAATTTATCCCATTACACTCTGGCAGGACATTTAAGCCCCTTTAAACTATTTTTTTTTGTAAAATATAAATGTAACAAAAAAATATAAAGTTAAAGCATCCGCGAAAGGATTATCACACGTCAATCTAATAGAACACACCTCAATCACTCTACCGAGTGTTTTTGGCTTACAAGTCATCCTTCACAAAAGAAAAATCGCAAAAACAAACGACAAACAAATATTTAGCAGGGCGTAAAATCTGGTCGAGTCATGCATTAAAGGCGGCAGCTGTCTATTGTTAAAGGACAGCTAACAAGGACTTTTGGCGAACATATATCACGGACAGTTATTGTCGTTTGGCGTGTGGATGTACATGGATATTCCCAGGGGCCTGTCGAAAAGCCAAAATATCAGTGAATATTGTGACTGGTGTCGGCGACAACAATGCGGTGCTGGCCCATTGTTGGAGATCCGCCTCTGTAAACGCACCGCAGATGGGCGAGAAACGTCGTCGAGCCATTCTTCCTACAAAAAGGGACACAGCCGAGAAAAAGAGTGGAGCCGATAGCCTTCTAAAAGTCGATCTTATTACGGACCGTGGCAAGAAAGAATTTCGACATCCAGAAATTTTCGGTCATTCAACCATTACGAGGCGTACCGTTTTGCGTATTCTTATGCAAACTGTTATTTCAGCTACTTACATTATCGACAGTTATAAGTAGAGGGATAATAGAAACGGAAAGAAAAAAATACTTTTGGAGAATCATCTATTGTGTTTCGCTTTATTTCTCTTTATTCTCAATTTTTTTTCTAATTTATGAATAATCGAACTTCTTTCGTCAGTTATTTTAAAGCTCACCTCAGCCATATTGAATTGTGACGTCATAAGGGAAAAATTTAATGTTGACTTATTTGCATGCCATTTTGTAAATAAAGACAATTTGGATAAAACGGAATAATGAAATCGTTGTAAAACACTTGTAAAAATGGGTCGAGACTATCTTTATCCCTCCCTTATAATTAGTGAATAATCGAAAAACGTTCATAAATGGGCTAAAACACATGTGAATTAAGTAAAAACTAGTAAACGTATTTTACGTGCCTTTACCATACATATATTAAATATCAGGAAAAATATACTGATAATCTCGATCAATTTTTATAAGCGTTTTACAGCGATATCATTATTCCGTTTTATCCACACAAATTTTTATTTATAAATTACACGCAAGAAAAATCAACGTGTCGCTTATGACGCATTTCTCGCTCATGATGTCACGATTCAATATAGTTGAGCGGAGTACTCAGGAGCCTTAATTAAATATCTCATTTTCAGGGTGTTAGTGCACTGCATACTGCTGTTAACGACAGAAATGCGGCGATGGTTGAATATCTGTTGTCTCATCCAGATATCGATCCGGGCGACACGCATCTGCATGCAATAAGAGATAATCAAGTAAGGATTGCTGTGCTGATATTGAATAAGCTGAATGAATTGACGCCGGGTCTTGAATACGCCGGTGTCACTCACAGCCCCGATTTCCCGGATGATACAACACCGCTGGCGGTGGCGGCACAATACGGACGTTTTGAGATGATCGATATACTCAGATTCCGACGTCATATTCTGCAGAAACCACATCCGCCTAGTTGCAACTGCAACGAGGTTTGCAAGTATGATATCGTTGTACATGCACCGAGTCGTTTGAAGATAACATTCACAATAAAAAAAAAGTTCAGAGTATCGTAATTAAATAACCTATTCCATTATAATTATTGATTTCATTAAATATTATTAATTATTCATTTATTTCGTTAAATAATTTACTCTTACGTTTACCTTTATTGTTTTCTCTGTCACAGACCGGAAAGGGACAAGGGTGATATCGTGACTTTAGAAAAAATGAGATTGTTTATATATACGGCAATATCGAATCCAGTATACCTTTGTCAAACCGAAGAAGATCCAATCTTAAAAGCTTTTCAATTATCGACCGAGCTTAGTAAGGAAGGTTCATTTGATAAAGAATTCTATCCCGATTATAAAGCATTGGCTCAGGTTAGTGAAATCTGATTCCTTATTCAAATTTGTTGGATATTAATAATTATCAGTAAAAATTTGTTCATTTTTAATTGCATAAGGTAGATAAACTATACAAGAAGAATGATAAATTATGTATCTATTATTAATGTATTCATTTTGACGATATCTGTGACATATCAAGATATTATATATGTTGCTTATAAAAAGTTAATAATCTACTTAGTTTTATGATAAAGGAGGTGTCTCAATTCGCCACAGACTTGATCGATTGCGCTCGTACCGCCGAAGAAGTTCAATGTGTATTAAGACAAATCACTGGTTTCGGTCGTACCTCTAGTTTCGAATATCCCCGACTCTTACTAGCTTTGGATTACAAGCAAAAAATCTTTGTGGCTCATCCAAATGTACAACAGGTATCACAACAATGTGATAATTGATATTTAGATGAAGTTTTATCAAAATCACTACCACAGTTAGTATTAGAATTAGATAATTAAAATTAAAACAACATTTTTTTTATATAAAATAAAAAATCAAAATCATTTACCGTTTTTTTACGTCTTTCTTTCTTCTAATTTTAATATTCTTCCTTAATCAGATTATACAGAATTCATAATGAAATCAAAGCTCAACTTTGTATAGTATTTGCTAAAAATAAATTTCGCTTTTCACACACACAACAGAGGTATAGAATTATTATATAAAAATACTTTGCAAACTCTAACAAATTTTTGCAAATTAAGAATCTTCCATCGAGAAGTTACATTTGATTTTCTTGCAGATCGTCGAGAGCAAATGGATTGATACGTGGCACGAATGGAAGGTCAGAAACACGTTGCTCAAGTGCTTGACGATAATTCCGCGGATCGGCATGCTACCAATCATGGCGTTCGTTATATTGTTCGCACCGCATTCGAAACTAGTCAAGTTCTATGAAATCCCGGTTAACAAATTTCTCTCCTCTGTGGCAAATTATTTGATATTTCTCACGTTCGTGTTTTTGCAATCGCAAAGCGACAAAAGTGAACAGCTTCGCGGACCACCTAACACTGGTGCACGTCTAAAATTACCTTCAATTAAATTTATATCTTGTGGTCAAGTTTCTGTTTAAATCAACTTTTATTTCTTTAGGATACGAATGGGTTCTCGCTATATACGTGATATCATACACATTAGCATTTGTTCGACTTTGTATTGTGGACGGTCCAGTGAGATGCTTTAGAACGCGTACAAATTGGTAAGACGAGAGTTAATTGATATTAATCGTAATTAATTAATATCGAATCTTAAACACAAAAAATCAGGCAAGTTTTGCAATCTAATTAATATATAATTTATGATCATTTTTTATATAAACATTCTTTCTATATGACGCAGGTATGAGCTCGTTATGATCGTGTTGTTCATTCTGACGTTTCTCTTCTGGATAGTCGCCGCGTTCGACGTTAGAATAAATGGTCAACGTGATTTAGAAAGAAAATACTGGCACAAATATGATCCGACTTTGATAGCGGAAGGGATATTTTGTATCGCAACAATTATGGCTTTTTTTAAATTGTTATTTATCTGCCAACTAGACTACGATCTAGGACCTCTGCAACTTTCTTTAGTTAAAATGATTAGAGATGTCGGTCATTTTATTGCAATATTCGGTATTATTGTTATGGCATTTACAATTGGTAAGATATGGCATATTGATCTATATAAAAAGTCTCTTCGTATTAATGGAATAATTGCGAGATTTCATTTAGCGAATTATGCATAATTTTAAAGTAACATTATTCTAGAACTTTATATGTATATTAAAAGAATTAGTGTCTGCAAATCTACAAAAAACAAGTTTTATAAACTTGAGACGTTTTCTCAGGACTGTGTCACCTTTATCAGTATTACAATGGAATGGTGCAGACTGATGACGAATCAAAATTAAAGACAGAGCAAGAAAATTCTTTCGTTGATTTCAAATCTACTCTAAAAACTCTCTTCTGGGCTGTTTTTTGCATGAGTCCCGTAGAAAGCGCCGATGTGATCATCGAAAATCTTCCAGGTGAAAGGGACTCGGAAACAATAATTAATCATCACAGCTTCACCGAATTTATCGGTTATCTTGCCTTTGCCAGTAAGTGCACTTACTATTTCATTAATACTGACAATCTACGAAAATATTTTTTATAGATAACCGTCTTAATAACCTGCTTTCTATTTTTCAGGTTTCCAATTTATTTCCGTGGTAATCGTTTTGAATATGCTAATTGCGTGTATGACGAATACTTTCACCAAAGTGACTGATAACGTCAATGTAGAGTGGATCTTTGGTCGTACTGAAGTTAGTGAAAATTTATAAACATTATATGTATAAAATGTACTTATATTCGACGTTTATTTTTCATATTTTAAAACAATTTTTTCGAGCTAATAGTTCCATGTAAAAAACAAGAGACGTGTGAAGTTAAAATAATAAATTGTAAATTATTTATAAATGTCACTAGTATATGATCTCCTACCGCCCTACTTTTTCAGGCTTATGTCGATTTCATGCTTACAACAACCCTTCCACCTCCATTCTGCATTTTCTCAATTTTCACGGAATTGCGACCAGTGATCGAATACATAAAAATATTGATTAAACCACCACCTGGTAAACGGGCACGATGGGATTTTGTAAATTGTTGCTACATAGTCAGTATACCACTTTTAAATCTCAATGTTGTGTGATTTAATATTATTAAATCAAATATTAATAATTAAATTTTATAAAACAGAAGTATACACTTCATATTGAACAATTTTTCATTTCTCTTCTTGACATTTCATTCGTGTTTTATTTATTTATACGCGTTACTGTTAGGAAGATCTAGAAGAAAAAAAGGATGAAAGATTCGCACAAGTCATGACACAACTGGTACAACGTTATCTCCGTCGACATGAAAAAAAAGTAGAAGAAACGGACATACAAAAGTTGAGAAAGGAATTAAAAGAATTTAGCAATATTTTAAAGGAAGCTCTTAGTCCAGCTTGAAAAAGATTTTATTTTTAAGAGATATTTCTATTTACTTTATATAAATTTTGTAATTCTTTGCATAGTGCTTATCAGAAAACGTGACAAGACTTCGAAATCTGTAATGAAGATTAATAATTTTTATTTTGTAGGAACTAAGAAATATTTTCTTATATCAGTACCAAATAGAGGTAGTTTATTTTCACTACGACTTAGTTTATGAATTAATAAATAAATTATATTTGTAACAAGCAAAAAGTATCATTTATTAGATGGAGAAGATTTGATGTTTAAAACATGTTCTTTGGGGAGGGAGAGAGTTACAATTGTTTTTTTTTTAAAACATCCTAAAAGAAAACAGAGATTATTATACATGGTAGATTTTGCACGTAATCGAACAGTATTGACAGAATTAATTTACACAGAAGTAATTTCCCATAGTGAGTGATTTACAGGCAATTTCGTATTTTTTACTTATTTCGATAGTTGTCAAACCGTGGCTGTGGTTCGTTATGCACTGCAAGTACTGAAAATTTATAGTTCGCGTTATGTATACTATAAGATTTTCAGTACTTGCAGTGAGTAACGGAACGCAGCCCGTATGTTTCCTGCCGAATATAGGCTTACTTTACGTACCTTTTACGACCATTTACTTCAAGGGAGAAAGTATATGGTATATTCTGCCTATTCTTTATTCTTAATAAATAAATACAAAGTACAACTTCTAGGTATTATTCTTAACAAATCAAAATCAAAATATAAATGAAACAAGGAAACATCAATCTTTTTTAAATAAGTTATAGTACAACAAATCCAACAAATCTGTACAATTCAGTCCGATTTCTTGTTTTTTAATAAAAATTGATTCTGATATTAGTCGTTTATTGTACATCCTTTCCCTATGCAAATTTATACATTGTTTCAATCGAAATAGTGCTTATGTTCCATTCTATGTTTGGAAATTACAGAGCATTGTCTTGTATTTCTACATATTAATACCGCGCGTACTAGATTTTACCCAGCAGCGGGGTAGAATCTACTCTGCACGTACTAGATTTTACCTCACCGCGGGGTAGATTTTTGAACACGGCCTGAGACACTACCGCGTCTCCTGAGACTACGATCTCTTTAATAATCGTTTAGCCTACATAGGATGTACATCACAATTCAAACAATTGAGACTCTGTACGTATACATTTTTTTAATCCTACGTATAGGCCATATATGTACATACCGTTTTATTATTTTTAAATAATCTTTTGAATTTTTTCCATACTGATGAAACATAAGGTACCGTTAAACTTGTCATAATTTTAGCTTCTGCTTGATTATTTTTGTTCATGTGGACTTTTGTTGTTAATTTCTTTAAATTTTTAAAACAATCTTTTTGGATGTTGTTGAAAATTAGTTTTAGGAGATATTCATTATCGAGTAAGATATTAATAGAAGATATTTAATTATTGTGCAAAAGTTTTTTTCGTTGAAACTGGGATGCGATAATAATAAAACTCAGTTTATTAATCCTGTAACAGTTTCTAATTTTTTACAGAAAGAATGGCAAGAAAAATATGTAAGTATCACGTACAAGTTATAAGTTTTTGATACCAATCATTTCTTAATTATTTTCTCTAAAAATTTTTTCTCTAAAAAGCCTTTAATCATTCAATATAATTTAAAAAATTTCCTTATAACAATTATAATCATAAAACAAAAGAGAGTGTAAAAATAAAATATAACGAACAGAACTAATATAACTATCGATCATTGAAAAGAAATATATATATATTTTTTTTGTTTACAAAAAATCTTATTTGCAATATGAAGGAAAGGAGAGATTAAGAAACAAATATACATGAAAGTTTGATCGTATAACATTCGTTCATATTGTGTGTAAATATATTATAAATCTGTTATATACATAATATCAGATGTAACATACATACGTATATTATATGCCATTCGTTTATCACAAAGTGTATAAATAAAAGATCTGGTAAAAATATTCGACATCAGTTATTAATAATAATCATATCAACTACTACGTAGGGTAGACCGGGGAGTAAAGGTCCTCGGAAAAAAAGGTCCATCCCTTGTATTTCGGTAATAACGCATTTACTAGAAAATTCCACCACACAGTTGGTCAATTAAGAGTGAGAATCTTATGTCACACAGTTCGTTGCTACCTGATAACCGCCAGGAAGCTTGCACGGATGTGCCATGTATTTGAGAGCCAAAAGTAACCTATTAGCGTTGCAGTTATTTTGGTCTAAAAGGATTATTTTTGCACTTAAATAGATTAAATAAGTGTATTTATTAATCTTATTCTATTTTTTTAACAGTGTGATTATTAAAATGGTGTGTTATTACTATTATATGTTTTAATAACAATGTCGCAAAGTTTACTTGTATTGTTGGGGTAATAAATGCCATTGTGTTCGTTAATGTTGATTCTATAACAAGTCGATAATCCTAAGTCTTATCAGTGAAGTTTACCAATAGCCAATAGTACGAAACGTTATCGATTACTTCCGATTATCGACTCATTGTAGAATCAGTATTAGAGTGGTATTCATTACCCAAAAAGGTAATATTCAGAATGCGATTTTCATCTCCGATTTTGATGAAATTAGGCTTATTCGGCGTATTTTTGTACGAAACGAAAGAATTTGTAAGAAAAAACGTTGGATCGGCCTTGCAAACCGAGATATTACGCGTTAAAGTTAACCTATTAAGGTTAGAAAATCAGTCAAAGCGATGAAGTGTAGCGACACAAACGCGTCGAGCTTAATATAATCGAAATCAGAGGCGAAGCAGCATTCTGAATAATTACCGAGAGACTTTCAGTTGTATTTTTATTAAAAATAATCTTATATTTTACTATTTGTACCTACATAACAAATGTAGAAGTATTGGTACTTTTTACCCCATTATGTGGACCTTCTTGCCCCACATGGGGTAAGAAGTGCCGAGTGACTTCCTCTGCAAAATTTACGATATCTTTGTAATGAAGGGTATATATGCATACTATCTTGCATGTATTTTGTAGCCAAAGGTCTCTAATTTCGAAAAATATCAACGCGATCTGTGTGAGTTAAATATTCTTTATTTTATAGCAAAAAATGTCAAATTATTTTGACGGCCCTTTATTCCCCGGTCTACCCTATATCATATGTATATATACTATAAAATAAATTTTTATTCATATTTTTCCATATTTATGCATTATACTTGCATGCAATGCACATCTCTTTTGATAACTTATTACATACGTATATCAAAAGTTTTGAACACAAAGAATATATTATCTCAGAATTATCTTCACAAATCATAACAAGATGCTATATATCCACGAACTAAAGAATATTTATATATGTTAGAGATATAATTTACGTAAAATTTAAAAATTATTATACTATATATAAAAATAATACGTAATTTTTTTCAAGATCGTATATATTATTTAAACCATTAAACACTGCACCAATGAATATGCAATAAAAAAAACCTAATGTTTTTCATTTAATCTGAATTATTATTTAATTTTGCTTTATTATCGGATTATCAAAAATCTGCTACATCGTCAACCAAATGAAGAAATAAAGAGAATGTATGTTCTTTGTTTTATAAACTTAATTTTATATTTAAATATTATATAGTACGTCACATTTTTTTTATAGATACAAGGATCTAACAAATTCTTTAAAGAATCACACATAATAGCAGCCTTTATGCAATATACATACAATCTTATCCGCATGCCAGCAATGTACAGGCTGAAAAGGATACAAAATCGTAAATTTAGAACATTGATAATATAATTACGTACTCTTACGGTTATGCTTGAGTACAGAACATGCTTGTGCAAAGGTAAAATTGTTGCGCTCTAAAGATTGTTACACGTACATTTTTAAGTGCACATTTTATTTGATTACGTTCAAGAGCAAAGGTAAAAACTTATATTTTACATTCTTGCTTGATTTCTGAAATTTTCAAATTTAGAAAATTCTACACTTGCACACCATTTTTAGCGTACGGATTTGCGCGTACTCTTAATTCTGTCGTTTTATTTTAATGCACAAATGAACATACGTTCTTATTCAGGGGATCTTAAATGGCATCAAGCAAATGGTAGTGAAAGCTCGCTATATACATACAGTACTCCTCAGAAAAGGGCCAGTATACTTACGCCAAGTGAGAAACAAAACTAAAACAGAACTAAAACAAAAAAAAAACAAGAAACTTTTCTGTATTTTTCCTCTATTGTAGCATATTCATTGCAAATCCACTAATTGTTTCTTCAATTGTTGTGTCATATTTTCTAAACGCAACTAAATAATGATATAAATTGCCAATATGACAAACTTACGTCTTATTTCTGTTTTATACTTCTTTATACTAAATCATGTATCGATTATCATAGATTTGGGACTGACGTATTTTCCTATATTAAAATAGTACAATTTGTAAAGCTTTTCGAAGAGGTTAGATAAGTATCATATACCATCATCAAATTCATACATTAAATTTATTCATAATATATTATTAGTTCCATAAATATCATATATATATATATTATCCGATATTTAAAACATTTTTATTTTTGTTTAAATGTTTTAGCAGCTCCATATTTAACATATTTGAAAGGAGACAGTTCCTTAGCTGTGGTATTTTTAGTCATCCTCATCATTGCTAAGCGTTGTTTATAAGCGGGACAATAGTCGTCCACTCAGAGCGCTCGATGACGGTTTCGAGCGGCGCCTAGCGCGCATTTATTACGGGGTCTGATGACGGCTCAGGCGACGGTCCGTCTCAACCTACAAGTTCACCGGAGTGCGGGTTCTCATAACCCCTTCCCCCCCCCCCTCTAGATCGACGTTTCTTTAACCCAATGTTTCAGAAACAGAATTACGCTGTCCCGCCGACGGAACCGAACAAGAGAGCATCGCAGAATCGGAGTCGCAGTTGTGCGACCACTCGATATAGACTATTTATATATACATAATCTCAATTTACTTATTACT